CTACCCCCCCCCCCCTCTGTGCAGAGCGGAGGGTCCCCGGCACCCGGATTTAGAACCACTGGCCTACAATGCTGTAAGACAGTCCTGCTCAGTCCTGTTCCTGGTGACCTATACCTGAGTTCAGCTCTGTAATTATCAAGTGCACCTGGAGATCTTATTTTGCGTATTTACGTGTTGATCGCAAATGTACGTCACCACAAAGTTGTAATTATGAGTGGGAAACTTGATTTTTCTTAAAGCACAGAGTTTACGAGTTCAGGGTGTATCGGCGAGAAAACATGTTGAATTCAATGGATGCAGCGATGATGGTAAATTTGTTAAAATTATTATTATTATTATTTTCATTTAAAAAAATTACATGTGAAAAATATAGTTTTGTACAATTCGGCATACAATAAATATGATTGAATTGAATTAATTTACTGTCATCGATTGAGTAAATGTATTGCATTCTTTATTTATCATTTTGTAGATGTAGAGTTAAAAATCTTGTTGAATTTTACGCAGAGAAGATGCATTGCCATCTCAACAAGTTGGTTTTTTAATTATGACTTCCCAGCTCGTAAATACTACATTTCCAGGAGCATTTGAAAACACCATCAGTTAGCTGGTTTCAACTGTGTTGGATCAGGGTTGGAACTGAATTTAGCAGGGGGGTAGATCTCCAGGAACCCCTACTGTAAACCTACTTAGATAAAAAAAGATAAGAATATTTATAATATAATAATAATAATAATAATAATGTCCAAAAAAGAAAATTGACTGGTTGAAAGGTTTATAATATATGCGTATAGACAAAGAGGTCTTAGCAAAAAAAAACTTTAAGCTTTAAACATATTTCTATAAAGGGTTTGGCCTTAAATCTTAAACCCAGGAAACAATTGTAGACATAACATTTTCAGCTGCAAAGATGTTTAGGCTCCTTATGATCAGAATCAGAATAAGAATGCCTTTATTGTCATTGCACAGCTGTACAGTGAAATTCAAGTGCAACTCTTGTGTGGTAAAAGTAACACACAACAAGCAGAATAGAACACAGAATAAAAAGTAACATACAACAAGCAACTCGCCATTGTGGCGAAAATAGATAGGCCGATATGAATAAGCAGTAATGTTTGATCATTTTACTTTTAGTCCAAATGGATCCCACATTAAAATGAAAGAACACATTATCTAAAAAAACAAAACAAAAACACTTAGGCCACGTACCCTTAGGTAAATTTAAATACAGACGTGAAACCCCCAAATGATCGTTCTGTGTTTGAATACCGAGCTAACAATAGCAACGCTCTTCTCGCATTTTTGGTAGGCACTATCCGCTATTTTTGAACAAAGGTGTGTTCGACACCTAAGCGGCACTGCGCAGACCGATCGGTGTAAGTGCTTATCAAAGGATCGCGAGAGCTGTAGTGAGCAGACAGCTCTTCATGTTTTCGACGATATGCGGGCCCTCCGAGGGGGGAACGCGATTTCTACCTGGAGGACCGTGGAACACTATTGTTTTACCGAGGGGATTTCTACCAAGGGGGCTGTGTCCTTTCTAGTCCAGTACTTTAGATCTTGTAGGTTAGAGTTCTGCTCAGCAGTAAAGGTTATAATGAGGCGGTCAATAGTAAGTGCGCATGGCTTTGTCTTAATTGTTTCTGTCCCCACGATAATGCCACGTAAATACTATTAAAATTCATTAAAAAAAATACTTTATATTATAAATAATACTTTCTATTATAGAAATAGAATCTATTCTATCGTTGTATTAACTGACTTTATAGTAATGAATATTAAACGGTGGTTTACGTTACGCACAGTTACAACAAAACAAAAGAAAACAATGGCACATCTCTGATGCATATTTAAATATATGTCATTAACAATTAGTTGTTCAGTTTGGTTCCATACACTCTGTGTAGAATTTTTGTCAAGTGGCTTTCAATACCTGAATTTTTCGAGAGTTAATACATTTGATGAATGCGTTCGTAGCTCATGTACGTTACTGAACTCGCTGTGCTAACAAGATTAAGAAGTAAAAGGTGAATTGACAAATGCCAAGTTCTGTCATGAAACTGAAAGACCAAATACATTATCATTGTCATATCCATTACCATGCTAAAATCTTCAGAGAGTTGTCATGATAGAACTAAATTTAGCCTACAGACACATGCCCTGAACATCATTTATGAGGTTAATACCAAAGAATTTGATTAACGTCTCGTGACGACACCTGCATACACCACCTCATCCTCCTGTCTAATGCCGGGTTCAGACTACACAAAATTTTTGTCGGTCACGATAGTCACTGTGTCAGATTACACGATTTTGACTCCTAAAGTTGTGGCGTGGACAAGAAACTTGTCAGACTACACTAACCTTTCCTCCATCTCATAATTCCACCTAGCAGCATCATCATCTCTCTTTCGTTTCACCATGTTTGAAACCTGTGTATGAAAGAGCTTCTATGCTACTATTGGTCAACTTCACCAATGTGACGGAACTCGTCGTGGACGACGGAAAAAAAATTAAACATGCTAGTCTTTCTGTCTTGATGTCGTGGATGCTTTAGTATCAGAGTTACTAAAAAAAAAAAAATCTTAAAACACAAAATTCATAAATGCATTCATTAAAACAGTTTTGAACGCATTTAAAAACTGTATTTTTAATCTAATGTTCAAGTATAAGCAACGAATGCAACGAATATTACTCTCGATTCTGTGTTGTTTGCACTTCAGAAATAACACTCTATTTGTTCTGTTCTCTCCTACTCCTGTCTCTAAATTATATGCTCTAAATTATTTTCTTTTCAAATGGCTTCACATACTCAGGTTTATTCAGTTTATTGCATATAACACACCTGTCTGAATGCCATAAACTGCTGCATTTCATCAATTAATCAAGGTTTTGTTAGTATGTAGTTTATCAATGCTATGTACTGCTGATTTAATGCACTTTAATTAAAATAAAACTGTATTTGTAAGTACATTTACTGTCAACAGCATCAGTCTTTTATCATCAATTTTTTTTTCTGAGTGAAAGTCAGGAAATTAAATACACAAATGTTTACTTAATTCATTTTGTATTTTTTTTGAGGACTAAGAGTGACAGTTAAAATTAAAATCAGTTATCAATTTAATAATTGGAAATAAATGGAAACAAATCACTTTTAAAAAGACAAATGAATAATTGTTGTAAATGTAAGATTTACATAACTAAACACATAACTGCTTATGTAATTTGTTTCAAAATCTGTTTTAATAAAATAATGAAACACTAAATATAAAATGGTAAATAAATAATATTTTTTTTAAATGAAAACTAAACAGAATGTTTAAACTGTTTATTTAATTCAAGTTTTGAAATGTATAAACAAAACAAAAAAACTATAAAATAGTAAACAAATGCATCATTTTAAATTGCTTAAAAATGCTTTTCTTTGTCCTTTTGCCAATCATGAACCAGTGCTTCGAAAGTGCCCATCACTACTTTACTTTACACCAGTGTTGTCGTACTCGAAACTGACTGGCCACACTGTAAAAAATGACCGCAAATTTAAAGGTAAAAGACTGTAAAAATGCTACAGTAAATGCTACAGTTTTTTCTTATCAGTTTTGTGTATTAGGGTTGTGTGTTACACCTAATGTTGTTAAATGAATGTTTATTGCATTATTTCAGTTTCATGTGTGTTACCATGATGGTGTTTGGTGTTTGTGTGAATGACACTGTGCACCTTCTGTATACTGTATGATATTATTGAAAAGCTGCTTGTGATGGGCTTTGGTTCATTATGTGACTTTCTCATCAGCACCTGCATTTGGTGGTTATCAGTGTATTACAAAGGTACAAAACAGATTTCAGTACTTCAATAGGTTGGTATATTAACATTATATCAGTTAATGAAATTACGGTATTTAACTGTAAATTTAAGTTAAAACAGTAAAACCTAAAACGTTGCTACCGTATTTTTTACGGTAAATTTCCGGCAACCACAGCTGCTGGTTTTTTACCGTAAATTTTACGGATTTTTTTTTACAGTGCAGACTTGGGCTCAAGTCTGGGTAGCTTGGACCACAGGGCCCCACGCAATTGTGTGGTGCCTACACACGCTACAGGCCTTACTACAACACTGCTTTATATCTTCCATGTCACAAACATGGCAGGTGAACAAGAATGTATTCAAAGAGGGATTGTAGATGGTTTTATCATGAGGTGGATCTCCTCATGCATAGTTTTGTGATTGCAAGCTGTAGTAATTAGCACTGATGAAATGGAAATGGAAACTAATCATTAAAAACTAGTTAAAATTTATATGATGAGACAAAAAGTACATGTATGGGAACATGTTCTGTTAGTTTTTTGTCATTATAGTCAAATGAGATAAATAATTTAAAGGCAAATTTTCATATGTTGAAATGTTTTCTCACATTCAAGTTTGCAGAACTATAGCTTTTACTATTACAGGAAACTCACACTTTTAGCTACAAATCTAGCTGTGTTTATTTGAGCAGAAACACTTACGAACACCAACACATGTACTGTTTTTACAGTTTTTTTCTCTCTCTCTGGCCACTGTGGGCATCTAACCACAAGTCACGCTCATTTTTTCAGCACTCTTGTTGCTTTTGTAGGTCAGTGCATGTGCAAGTATTTATGTTTAAATTTGTAAATAAAATTGAACTGCTCACAAATGATCTACCAGAATACTGTAAGGTAACTGATAATGTCATGATACAGCTAATTATTACTTTTCAACAGATATTTCTTCAGATTTTTATTTTTGTTAGGATGTTGCCTCATAAGGCAGTTGTCTGTGTAGACAGTAAGGCAGCTTACTTGGTTTTTTTTTCTTTTTTGGCTGTTCACCTTTTTATTTACATCAGGTTGCAGCCATACATAAAAACATTGTACAATAGGGAAAAATATGCATTATAAAATATTATTATATAACCTCTGTCTCAATTATACAATGTATGTTTTGTTTGTACAGTATAAACTAACATTAATTGACTTACCGCTTTTTGTGTATATCGTTTGTAGAATGTTGGATCAGCATAGGTGATTTCTTCATCACGGGTCTGGACTGTTTCAATAAAAATTACAGAAGTACTAATAAATACCGGTAAAAAAATAAATAAATAAAAAAAATCAATAAAAATTACAGAAGTATTAAAACAGCAAAACTGTAACTATTTCTACAGATGTAACAGCAGTAGGTAACACTTGCCCTGTTGGTCTGTTTTTCTGTGTTTCCTGCAGATGCAGAAGATCCCAACTGCAGCCAAAATCAAGAGAGTTCCAGCTGCAGCCGCAGCAGAAATCAGCACTGTCAGAGAGACTGAAGGAGTTTGTGGGTGCAATTCTGGAAAGATAAAGAGAGACAATTAGTAAGTCGACTTTAATCTCTGACTCAGATTCCCGCAGCCTGTCTGCTGACCATCTGAAGCTAGTCTGATCAGCATGAGCCTCCTTTTAACATCTTTAAATATGTTTGTGAAAAGGCGCTTTGGCTTTGTTCGGAACTCTTTTTAAACAGAGCAAAAAACAGACAAAATAACAGGCCTTGTTATTTCATAACACGACTCCGTATCAATTTAATGTTTACTGAATTGATGTCTACAAGCAATATATAACACACGCAGTTGTGCAATGATCTGAATATCCTGCGGCACTCACACTTTCAGATGATGAAGGACTTTGTGGAGTGATGGTAGAAATGGGCTTATTACCTGGATAATATTAGAGAATCACAGAAATGTGAATAAATCAATAAGAAGGCTAATTTATTTGTCAAACACATTCTGGCTCTCAGTTGCCAGGTTACTTAAGCACTATAGCTTTTTTCATAAAGGATTTGCTTATTTTATATCTGCATTACACTCTCCCTGACAGAGCCTAAGAGCACAGTGATCAGACATGCACTGGAACTCATGCCAAATTAGTTTATTTAATAATAAACTATTTCAGTTCTATAAAATGTGTGATCATTTTCCCCTTGTGTGGGAGGTAATATGATGTTGAATGGATTGAAGGTAACTTTTTCATGATTGTGATTATTTTGCTTGATGAATATACTGTAAATATTAGAATAAGGCAAAAAAAAAAAACTGAAATGCGTCTGTAAGATTTCAAATAAATTATCTTGAAATATCATTATGGGTTATGACAATAATTTAATACTGTTTAAATTTTGAATATGACAATGATAGAAGCAATCACACTTACACTCAATATTACTCACCATCAACCGTAACACTAAAACTCCTGACTGAGACCTTATTCTGAATAATGGTGCTTAGTTTATAAAGTCCAGAGTCTGTGGTTCTGGTGTTTGTGATGGTCAGAGATCCATTTCTGTACATCTTCAGTCTGTTTGTGAATCTATCATCATAATAATTAATCATGCTGAGCACTCTAGCAATGCGAATGTCTCCGAACCTCCACTCGATCTCTTCATCACTCTGTATGTCTGTAAGTTCAGGGTCTAGAGTGACAGATTCTCCCTCCATCACTGACACTGACTTCACTGCATCTCGATCACCAAGCACACCTGATGAACAAAAAGAACCATTTACTCAAACATAGAGGAAGGCTCTTGGCTTACAGACATACATAATTTTCTGTTGTTTAACAATTAAACCATTGTTTAACTTTCTGTTGTTTATTAATTCAATTATAGTTTTATTTACAGCTATCACCTTCTATGCTTCAAAAGTCAATCAAACATTGGAATATGAATCTTCTTTGTGGAATATAGAAAGTACAGCAGCATTTGTTTTTGGTGAAATTAATAGCTTTAGTGGCAAAATTTAATGGAGAAATTGATCCAATAAATAAGAACAAGATGACATCAAAATAAACCAAATCTAAGCAAATAAAAATTATTTCTGTGCAAAGGTCTGAAACAGCCAGACACAGGAAATGTTTCTTCCATCACGCCATCTACCTCATGAACAGTTAAATGTTCTCCCCACTGTGCAATAAAATGTGCAATACCCAACTATCTTTACTTATATTTGTTATACGTATGCTATTTATTTAACATCATCATCATACATTTATTCACATTCCCTTGCATAATTTGTATATAGCATATCTGTACATACATATACTGTCTATTGTCTTTTTGTCTATTGTTTTTTTTTTTGTATGTTTGTTTTTAATTACTTATTTTTATTTTGTTTTCTTGTCTTGTCACTTGTCATCATGTCTGTGCACTAGAAGCTTCTGTCACCAAGATAAATTCCTTGTGTGTAAACACACTTGGCAAAAAAACTCTTTCTGATTCTGATATAAAAAAAAACTAACCGTGTATGAATGAAAATGTATGTATGCATATTTGCCATTTTAATATAACCACTGCTATACAATTGTTGAACCATGAAAAACAAATGCTGATTTTAAAAGAACCTTATATAACGTTAAATTTGTCTATAAATGTAGAAAATTTGTACTTACCAACCAGATGCCATAAACAGAAAAGTATTATGCAAACCATTTTCAGTCGAGCAGCCCTCTTAATATGCTTATTAAGAGGTCTAAATTAAACAATGAAGGTGTGGCATTAAACAAATTACAGATCTCTTAGAAACCTCTTTATCTAAACTTAGTTTAACAGGAGGCAGATATTCGTGGTTAAGCATAGATGTTGAGTGGGTGTGTACCTTACGCTGCCAGTTTGTAATAGCCTACTTGTCCAGTTAAAACCAGTGTTTTAATAAAACACACCCACAATTCTTGTTTGAATTAAATTTACCAGACCAACTATATGTTGTTAATAATAATAATAATAATAATAATAATAATAATAATAAAACATTTAGTCAGAATACAATTATTTATTTAATACAAAACAGAATACATAATTTATTTCTCTCATATACTTAACCTCATCTCTTCTTAACGTTGCTGGAGAAGTCGTGGCCTAATGGTTAGAGAGTCGGACTTGTAACCCAAAGGTTGCGGGTTCGAGTCTCGTACCGGCAGGGATTGTAGGTGGGGGGAGTGAATGTATAGCGCTCTCTCCCACCTTCAATACCACGACTGAGGTGCCCTTGAGCAAGGCACCGAACCCCCAACTGTTCCCCGGGCCGCAGCATAAATGGCTGCCCACTGCTCCGGGTGTGTGTTCACGGTGTGTGTGTGTGTGTTCACTGCTGTGTGTGTGCACTTGGATGGGTTAAATGCAGAGCACTAATTCCGAGTATGGGTCACCATACTTGGCCACATGTCACGTCACGTCTTGCATATGTAAAATATACTCACGTTAACACTCACAGCGCCTAGTGGGTTAGAATGGTATTGCAGGCTAGAAACAATATTTCAGAACAAGCGCTAACAAATTGGCTGTATTTTGGAAATGACTATTCCACTACAGAATTTATTAATAAATATTAAACCATTTTAACATTATTAAAAAGTGGTGCTGTCAAATCGATTAATCGCGATAATTTTTTTATTATTATTATTATAATCACATCAAAAATAAAAGTTTGTGTTTACATAGGCTAATATATGTAAGATGTGTATATTTATATGTATTCATGCCTCTGCTAAATTATTTTATCCCCCCCCTGGTGCGGGAATAAAAAAATATTCCCCTGGGGGATGCTACTCCACCAACCACCAACAGAGCATACAAAATACCAAAAATAAAAATATTTTTTAAAACATCAGCAAGTAAAATACTGCAACATGACAATACAAACAACAATAAAATCAGAAATGGACTGTAACTGTCAGTGCTCCCACTTTATAGAGACCGTCTGGGTTTCGTGATCAATCATAAATTATTTATATATAAATGTATTATGAGACAGAATGCAGAAGTTCACTGTTACCGTAATGTGGGAATTATGATCATACTGTAAAAATTTGTAACTTGGATGTGTTTGGCTTCTGGTGTCATTCGCTTCCAGTTATTTTACCTGCTCAAAAACAGCCCATTATACTGCTTTATACAAACTTTTAATCATTATGATATTATTTTAACTTCAGTAGGCTATCATATATAGAATGCGATTTCACCGTACTGCCATACACTTGGGTTTTCTGAAATACCACCACTGGGATAGAGAAGGAAAACACATTACACTGGCAGCTGGGTTTCCGGCCAATGACTGCATTTAATTTGACCTCACTGTAATTCAATTACTAAACAATTACAATTCAATTTATTGTTTCCAACACATATAGCAATAAGTGAAGAATGATTAATGAAGCTTGTTATAATGTTGAGCTGTTAACTGTGACTGTTGATAAATGACTATTCATATTTAAAACATGCAACATGCATGATGTATTTAATTAATTCATTTATTTATTTGGGCATTTATTTATTTGAGCACACTGACATATAGTGCAACTGTGTCTCTGGTGACCCATGTTCGAGTCCTGGCTTGAGGTCCTTTGCCGATCACATCCCACAGCAATCACTACACTGTCCTGTGTGATAATCACAAAAAGTCCAACAAAAAAAAAAGAAGTTGCACTTGCAAATCAGTGAGTTTTACTTTACAGTTACATCTTACATGGTTGGTACTTTAAATGAAAACAGCGAAAATATGGTTATTTCTTCCACAGTAATTGTAAATATTTTTTACAGTAAGTTACTTGTCACGTGCTGCCAGTTAATTACTGTGAATTCCACAGCCAGTTTCTTACAGTTCAAGCAATGACTGATGTATCGGCAAATAATCGTCTTTCTGTGAGTCATAAAGAAATTATGGTTCTATTCTATTTAAAGAAATATGAGGTAAACGTGTGAATACATAATGTGCGCACTTTTGGAGTAAAAGTTTGTTGTGTAGCGAAGCACTGATAAAAAAAATAAATGGAAGCAAACGCGATTGAATATGTACAGGTTTGTGTCTCGTTATTCTATTAAAAATATAATTAACTACCGATTGATTTTGCATTCCTGGCAGAAATAAGAAATATTAGTGTCATTGTAACCAAGTATTATCACAAATAGTGGTCAAATATCGAAGCTATAGTAGTAAAAGGGAGGTGGACGGATCGAGAGTATGTGAACGAGATTATTGTGGTGCTGTGAAGCATGTAAAACTCCAACCTCAATGTAGTGGAGGGAGTTAGTACTGTTTTAAGTACTCAGCAGTTCTGGTTTCAGGTTGTTTGTATTAATAATCTTTGTTTTAAGCTCTTAAACATATTTATTTGCACATCCGCTCGAAATAAACATCCTTTTTGGACACCAAATTCGCTCTTGTGATTTTGATCCTCCTTGTGACTGTTCAGGTTGTTATCACACTCATTTTTAAAGTGTGTAATATATAAAAAATCCTAAGCAAAAATCTGAAGTCAATATTTTATTTTATGCACAGCATGTGTATACAGTTCTGATTTCAATTTTGGTATTCAACATAGCATTTAAAAATTACAACATTCACACATTTTAGTTTTCTCACCATAGTTAAAAAAATAAAAAAACAGCAAAACACAAAATTGCACCAAAAACAGACTGTTTACTCTTGTTTTAGAGTATCGGGTCCATCACTCTGGGTCTGATGTCTCTCCTGTTAGCAAAACACAAAATTGCACCAAAAACAGACTGTTTACTCTTGTTTTAGAGTATCGGGTCCATCACTCTGGGTCTGATGTCTCTCCTGTTCAACTCTTCTGGATCTGATGTCATAAACCAGCACAATGAAAGCAGCCGCGGCAGCCAGACCCACCAGAGCAGTGACGGCCAATCGGATCACAGCTTCAGTGCTTTCACAACAGCTGACTTCTTCTGAAGAAATAAATTAAGAACAGTAAAGGAATTTTCAGACTCCGTAAATATGCAGTAACATCAGACTAATGTACCAGACCGAGACTGGTTCTGTAAATAAATGATAACTGCTAACATACCTGAACACAAACGACAGAGATCGGTAATGCAGGCATGTCTGGTCTTGTAGCTGATGGGATTGCTCACTACGCAGCTGTAGGTGTTTTTATCCTGATATTCCACCTCCAGAGGTAGAGAGAGACTGATGCTGAGATCAGACACATTGATGCTGGACAATGAACCGTTTCCTTTGTACCAGGAGAGAGTCACACGGCTTACATTCATCACTGAACACAGGAGCACACATTTTGGGCTTGATGAATTTTCTGGTGATGAAGAACACTGTGAAATGACACTGGTAATGACAGGAATACTGGATACTGGAGCTGCAACAAAACAAAAATGATATTTAATAATGATAACAAAAATAAATTTGAGTACGTTAAGAGTCACACCAGGGATGTTTTATTTGTAATACACAAAATAATGATCTTTAAAAAAGCATCATATGACCCCTTTAAAATAATGAGTGAACCGTGGTTTACTGTGACATCAGTCAGTGAGTTTGTTGAATGTAAAATCAGTCAGGTAATGTGTCAGCCCACTTGGCAGCCAACTTAATAACAGCTATTTGTGGTCATGTAAGTACTATATAACGCAGGGGTTTCAAAGGAGTAACTTAATATTCCTGGAGCCTCCCAAAAACTGCACATCTTTATTCTTTAATAACACTGAATTAACTCATCAGCTGTTTAGTACAGCTCTCCATGACCAGAATTTGGTGTTTCAAATAAGTATCCAGTTTTAGCCCAATACGCACAGGGCAGAAGGGAGGGGCAAAGCTTAAATGGTCTTAATAAAGTTGTGCTAACACGTGTAATTTTATTTTATTTTTCTATTTTTCTATTTTGATTGGAATGACATCTACAATATTTAATGACATTTAATTACTTTTTAATTTAATTTAATTAATATTTAATTACTTTTCGATTTGTACATGCATTAGGTATCATGATGTGCAGAGAGTAATATTTTAACACATATTATTCATGTGTAATGTTAATGGATACAAACACAAAATACGCTGTTAGTGCATATTACATGAACTAATGAGAACATATACATTTTATATAACTTTTTAATTAAAAATATTAATAAATGTGTAACTATATTGTAAATTGTTTCCCATTTGGCTGTATTATGTGTTAATATTTCCTTCACATTTATGTTGTAACAAATAAAAGACAGAGTATAGGCATTTAATGTCACATATACTGTATTTATTAATATAACATTCAAAATAAATATGTATAACACAAAGCCTTGAACAAGTGAGATGTGAATTTAAAGACATTTAACTTTTAGCAAAAATTGTCTAATAATTTTTAAAAAAAGTATAATATAGTTTATAAGTGTAATTAAACATGCAAACTTTATTCAACAAATAATCAACTTAAAACTTGTCACAAAAACTGTTGACTTTTCAGCCCACTTTATCATGGCATTCATGCAGAAAGACCTCAATGCCTTCCCTGAAAATGAAATTCATGATTAATATTAAAAACATGTCTACTTTGACAAATGCAAATGCCCCCAAAAAATAGTATTCATCATTTTATTCATAAACAATAAATACTATTATTATACCAATAATAATATTACTAATACTAATAATAAATACAGTGACTTAATCACAAAGCCGATTTACAAAACCCAATCTGAATAGTAATAATAATAATAAAACTAATAAAATGAGAACGATGTGCAGATTTCATAGGCTGTTTTAGCAGAGAAACACTTAATATATAAATTAGTTAACCACACAACAGAAATATTACAGATATTAAAGAAATAATATTGGGTTCTACCATTTTATTGATTAGGCTACTTATATTCATTGACAAGTAGAGCCGAGCATCTTTATGTATTTGATGAACTATATCATAAAAAACAACAATATAGTGTATAACAGCTTTAAGCAGATAAACGCTAAATTCATGAATTAGTTAATAACATCATGACTGATTTTTTTTCTTCAGTCAATACTCACCGTATGCTCCGTCATGCTTGTTCCGTTGTCGTTTATTCCGCCCCCACTTCCGACCAGCTGGATGTCTCCAAGCGAGACAAGTGCTGTATCGTAAAAGGATTTACGCGAAGCTTTTCAATACGGTGTACGTTGTGGCCATCTGGTGGTAAAACAATGAATAGCACCATCCTGTCTGGCCACTTAAAACAATAATAAAATAAAACCTGCGATCTACGATTTTTTTTATAGGCTCGTCTAGTTAATGCACATTCAAGAGTAGCCTAACAAATTAGGCCTATCAATAGGCTGTTTTAGTTCAGCCTGAAAAGTACAAATGTGTGTCCAATATAAAACATCCTGAAAATTGATAATTATGAGAACGATTTAGTACCATTTTACAATATTAAATTATTATAAATTATTATTATAAAATACTAAATTATTTATACTACACCTACCATAAACAGTAACACTGAACGTCTTGGATGAGTCCTTGCCATTGATAATGGTACTAAATTTATAGACTCCAGTGTCCGTGGTTCTGGTGTTGGTGATGGTAAGGGATCCATTTCTCTCCAGCTTCAGTCTGTCTTTGAATCTCTCATTTTTATCATATGTAGGATTGCCGTTCATTGCTTTAGCTATGCGACTGTTGTTAAACCTCCACTCGATCTCATTCTTTAGCTGTATTTCGAAAGTGTTAGAGTTAAGAGTGACAGGTTCTCCCACCATTACTGACTGAACTTCATACGATTCAGCCTGTAAAAAGCCTGCAAAACAAGATTAAACGGCTTAAACATTTAAATAATGTAACGCTTAGTACTAGTGTGTGTACTACTAGTATGTAATTACTTTGTGCTAACACTATTGTCATAAAATAGATTTATAACTTACCAACCAGACACAACAAAACAAATGTTCGAATCATATTCGTAGTCTCAGATCGTCACTTTAAAAATCCAAGAAAACTCAAATCGATGTAACATTATTTTAAAATAATCAATACGTTTTTTTTTTAAGCTGATGTTAAGCGTCTAACATAGAAAGCCTTCAGAGAGTACAGATGCACGCATGTGGGCGTGAACTAGTATGCAACATATGGTGACGTAAGCATCTGTTCAACCAATGAGAATTTTAGAGAGGCTCGTCCGGTTCAGCCATGGGTGTAGTTGTGCCTTGGAAAATCTAGCTCACTAACCCAGCTCATTAGGTTCCTTCTGGTTAAGAAGTATGTTAATAAATCTGACTTTGTAAATAAAGTTTGCAACTGTAATTGTGCAGCATGAGAAGCTGATAATACAGGACACTTTCTAGATGAAATAATGATATATCATTAGGCCTATTAATAATTATTATAATAAAAAATATGAAAAAAATGTAGGCCTGTTTTCGTGAATTACATCAACCCAGTATGCAACAGTTTTAACTTTCGGAAAAACTTTAAAGCTGTCAAAGCTGTTTAAAACTGTTTAGTGTTGTGAAATGATGTACTGATGCGGTGATGATCAACTGATGAAAGTGGACATCTAATATACAGGAGAATAATGCCCATTTTACATCAATCAACCACACACATGCAATACTGAGCAAATTAAAAGGATCTAAAGACATTTGTCCACTACATTTATTTGGGTCACTCTGCCACTAAACTGACCTAAATTAAACTAAGGCTGCAGCAGATTTCAGTTTGACTCAGAAATTGAGCTGCTAGAGTGTTGAATGCATTCAGTGGAAACAAGATGTTTCTTGCATGAGAATTTAAGAAGGTTAAGAAGCCAAACTCAGACATCCTATATTTACGTTGACATTTACATTTAGTCATTTAGCAGACGCTTTTATCCAAAGCGACTTACAAATGAGGACAA